TTTGGTATCACTTTCATGCAGGGGGGCAGGGGTGCATGCATTTGTTGTTTCAGATTCATGTGGGCTTTGTGTTTGACTATTGTTAAGGGGTAGTACAGGCTCAGGGTAGATTCAGGGATCGTCAGGGGAGAAGAATTTGTAGTATTGTTGTTATTAATATTGTCTTCGTCGATCATTTCCTCTGTGGGCACCGGTGTGTTTAGAGGGGGTAAAGGCGTTTTGGTTTTTCTTTCCAGAGTGAAAGTATGAGTATCTTCGAAGGTAGAGATGTTAAGTTTGTCCCAGGAGACATGTAAACCATAGTTGAGGCCAAGTTTAATGATTTCTCTCATCACTTCGGTTCTGTTGTCATCTGTGATTTGAAAAATGTGCTGGAAATCGAGGAAGAAGTTGAGGTCTTTCAGGGACATTGGCTCAGGTATTGAGATGTTGACAAGTGTTTGAATTTCTGAGAATCTTGTTCTTTGGTAATCTTCAAATGAAACATTGATGATTTTAATACTTTCTACTTCACTTTGTATGGAGCGGACAGGTGTCAACCAAACTTTTGGACAGTTTCCTAGCTTCGGAAGGCGAACTGACTGGGCAGGTGTGGTGGCAGTAATTTTATTAGTTTTGATATTTTTGTAGATGATGACAGCTTGTGGGGTTTGGATACTGGTTACTAAAATATCAAGGAGAATGTGCTCATGGTTTGTGGGATGACCCTTGGGAGGGGAAGGTCCCCCAGGGTCCTTGGCTTTTTTTTTTGACGATGAAATTTTGTTTTCTTATTTGGTAGTTTTTGTTGAGTGCGAGATTTTCAGGAGAGAGTTTTTTGAAACCTTTAAGCATATTTAATTATATTTATAATAATATTATAGCTAACATTAACACTAATAATGCTTAGGTATATTAGTTCTCTCTAGGGATGGCAACAAGCTATAGAGACTCAAATAGAGTAACTGAAATAGCAGAAGCAGAATAGAGTATATGTAGTACAAGCTAGTATAGTTATATATCTCCTAACATTGAAATAATATGTATCACAAAACTTTGTAATATAATAAGTAAATGTTAATAAAGCTCTTGCTATAGGCAAGCCAGTGTTTAAAAATATATATATATATATACTTATTTCGAAACTCTTTCCACTGATCCCTTTGCCAACCCAAAAAACAGACGTTCTCAAAAATATTTCTTTATTTTTGATAATAAAGTCTATACACTTT